CCCCAAAACCCCAAAACCCCAAAACCCCAAAACCCCAAAACCCCAAAACCCCGTTGTCACATTCTATATTGAACCAGACACAGAAATTTAATTTTTAATCAACTCTCCAGATTTTCCATAAACACTTGAAACTCCGAGAGGATATGAGTTGCACACAGCAATACCGCACATGTTCTGATCTCTTTCAATCTTGAAGAATCCTTCATCTCCCCAGTCTGATCCCCAAGAATTTTTGATTTCGTAGTATTTAAGCCCAGTTTCAACACCATATCCAGTGGCCAAAACAGCATGATTTACGTCTGATTTAGTATTTTCGCAGTCGTTTGAAGAGTAAACTCCAGATTCATAGAATCTGAAATCATCAACAACTTGGTAAGCAACAGAAACAGGTCCCGCATGTCTGATAGATTCGACTAATTGCTCTTCATTGCCTTCCTCAATGACGAAAGGTCCCTTAGCAGTAATTCTTTTATACAATGGGTCGTATTTGCATTTCTGATCTTGCCCGACATATGGATAAGTTCCTTCAAAGGTAAGACCGTTTTCACTGATATATCTAAAAGCGTTTTCTGGAAGTCCACCATTGCATCCATGGTTATCAAAATCTCCTGCACAATCAACAAGCTGTTGCTCTGACATTATAGCGTACTTAGTAGTAGTAATGAGGAAATGAGATTCCATTGCACCAATAGTTGAGAAAGCCCAGCAGCTTCCACAGTGTCCTTGATCCTTGACAGGAGTAACAACTTTAGCACTATGGGGCATTCTGATTTCTCTCCAGCTGAAGTTTTCATCAGTATCTCCATTATAATTAATCCTTGGTGAGGCAGTTGCAGAGCATTTCTCATCATCACTAGTGATATCTAATGAGAAGTAGATTTTGAATTCTTCATCTGTCATATCCTGGAACTTATTGACTCCCATTTTCCAAGTCTTCGTAGTATCTTTGTTATGAGCAATAACTTTTTTCATGTTGTCATTGAAAATTTCAAATCTGTCATAAGAGTCTCCTTTATTCATAGTCAGGTCTTCATAAGTATCCAAGAAATCTCCATACATCTTGTAGGCAATAGCCTTGGTGTATGGCTCATCTCCTTGAATGACCGAACCATATTTAGTTTTATACTGCAGAGAGGTCAGTGGTGTAGTAACAGCAAGCGTCACAAAAAGAATTGATAAGATCAAGAGCTTCATTTTCTAATATTATTTTCAATGTTTCTCTACTTATATGGGGTTTTGGGGTTTTGGGGTTTTGGGGTTTTGGGG